CGGTGGGGGCGTGCGCATGGGCACGGGCTGGCCTGTGCAGATCACTCCACTGAGCCTTCCTGTTTGCCTGTTTGCCTTTGAATGCCTTAGTGCCTATGTACGTGCACGTACACAGGTGCGAACACCCATGCTTGCACGCGGGCACACACACACCATTCTTCCCACCGCTCTGAGATCTGTAGATGGTGACAGTGGGCATCTTATGAAAGCTGTTACTTTCTCCTGTCCTATAATCAATTCTTTTGGATTTACTTGGTTTATAAGGTTCCTAGACCTCTATTTTTAAAGTATTTTAATAAAAATTAAATGCCCTGAGTTCAATCCCTGGTACCACACACACACACACACACACACACACACACAAAAGCCATGGAAAGTGTAAAACTAAACAAAATTATCCTGTAGGGTTCTTCATAATCAGGCTATGCTCAAAGCACAGCCTGTCCCCAGGCTTGGCCAATCTCCAGGTAGAAACCGGGGTGAGACACACACAGAGGACCCCCAGCCTGAAGCCCAAGCATGTTTTCCAGCATCTCCCCAGAACATCGTGTTCCTGGTGGGTAGTGTGATCAGCAAAAACAAAAACTCTGCATGAAGGTCTAGTAAGTTCCTGAAAAGTTTTAGATTTTATATTCAAGAAAACCCCCATATTAGAATTATACGTTTTCCAATAGTCTAATGAACCCAGGAATCGCTGGGTGCACAAAGGCCGGAATGGCCAGCAGTCACCACAGCTCATTTATGCCCCAGTTTGTTCACCTATAAAAGCAGGAAGCCTCAAGGTGTAGGGTTGTGATGTGAAACCGTGCGTTGATTCATGTTAAAATACATACACATGGGGTACTGTCACATTGGCAGAGCACTCAGTCAGTAGGAACTGTCATTTTCTCCCAAAATACTCTGAACGGGACAAGGAGGTAAAGGACAGAGCTGCCATATTTTTTGCTATCTCACATTATTTCCCATTGTCATCTTGGAAAGACTGTTTCTTGTGTTCTCATTTTTTATTGAAAAGGAGAGCAATCACTCAAAGAACAGAACTACACAGAAGCAGCAACATGACAGGCATCAGCGGACCAAAGTCTGTGTCTTGGAAGAAAACAGATCAGTCCACAGAACTGACTCCAAAGCTCACCATCATCCTAGCAGACATCCAGAAACACTTCCAAGGAATAATGTTATTTTATAATCTCAACATATAGCCCAGTCTCAACTCAACATATCCAGATGTGTACAGAACTCCCACTTCCTTCGAGTCACTATAAATATGTACATACTCAAGGAAAGACACAAGCAGCACAAAAGATACAATTAAGGATCTCTCCCTTGACAAACGGAAAGTTTCTCATAAACAACATACTACTATCCCCTCACTTCATCTTGCAAAGAAACCCACATGAAATAATCCAACTCCATAAATGATTGCAGTTAATAGGAGACAAGTTAGGTCTCAATAATCTGTGGGACTCGAAAAGTAGTCAAAGTCATCCACCAACAGTAAGGAAATAGAGGAGATAATAGAGCTCTCAAGAAATAATCCAGAAAAATAATCTAACTCAGAAAGCCTGAACTAGGAAACACAATAAAGTGAGTGCCCTTGTTTTTGTCCCTCCCTTGCCCTAATTTTGCTCAGTAAACCAGCTGTAAGAGAAAGACGTCATGAGTCACTCAGTAATGTAGAGTAAGTAGGGAAGGTCATCTACCCAGGCCACAGACTGCCAACTAGGAAACTAGCAGTGTTGACACAAGCCTGAAGTATAGAAATGAACACACAACAAATTTTCCCGGTCCTTCAAGTCTCACCATACACTACCGTTCACCCACCCATCTCAGCCACTTAGAGATGCTTTAGAGGTCAAGTGTGTATCAAACTGTCAGAAACTGTTATCATCTGCCAAACCTCAGCTTCTTATTCATAGCACTCTGAGGTTTTCAACTGTTTTTTGCCACCCCCTAAGCCGGGAGGCAGATGTTGATAATTAAGCCTTTGCTAACAAGAACTGGGCTGTCACCTCACTTGTCAACTGGAGGTTTACAGCTTCACTCAGATAGCTTCTGTGAAGCACCTGGCCTCCATGAGCTACGTGTGTCACACCTCTGATAACACAATATACACACGTCACTCTCCTCTGTGTTTTCAAAAGGCAAAATCCATCTTCTACCACACTTTCCTCAGCCTGCTCCTGAAGATATGGTTTATATGCATGTAAACAGAAGTTAAATGTGCAGTTTTATGGGAGTGGGGAGAAGGCAGACAGTGGGAAATGGCTCTCCTGCCGAGCATAAATAATATTTAAGCAGAATGCTCGGGGCCTAAGAGGTTGCGCAGTCAGCACTCGGATCAGAAAGCGTGCGTGGGAAATCTCCTCCGCCAAGGCTTCACGTGGCCAGGGCTGGCCTCATTACAGACCCCATGGATGGTAACAGACAAGCTGTGAGCAGCTTGAATCAGGCAGGGAACTCAGAAGTGTTTACTGGTCGAGGTCAGGACAGAGGTGATGAAGTCTGTGGCGGCACTGGTTTTCTTCCGCTCCAGTCCCGCTGCCATTTTGATAATGAAGGGGCCAAGCTATGACCTAGCTGAGGTGAGGCAGAGCCTCAGAGTTGGCTGGCTCCATTCCACGGCTGGAGAGCAGCCTGTCATGTTGCCAGGACACAGGGAAGGCCCAGCTCCACAGACTCCTGACCTGAACTTCCTCAGCCTGCACAGGCCCCTCCGGCCACCACCTGAGAGAGCACAGCCCCAGGACCTGACCCCTCCGGCCACCACCCAAGAGAGCACAGTCC